AGGTAGAAAACATAAGGCAGGAAAGATCTAATGGGGAGAGGAAAGATCTAGAAAAATATGAAATGTTGTTTTTAATTTGGTTATTTTGCAAGTTGTTCTGGCTATTACACAGAGAATACTGTCAGGGTTTACATGGATGAAAATCTTTTTAGTTGGTGTGAAGAAATTAGCTACCTTATTGTTACTAGGCATAAATACTCTAAATGTTTGCCTCTGGAATTAGCATAGTATACACATATTAATAAGCTATAAATAAATAGATGCTTTTATAGAAGTTTCTAGTACAGTTTAGTTCAATGATGTATTAATAATTGTGAAAGGTCTTATCTGAGATTTTTTTCAGACTCTCAAGCTAATAATTAACCTACCATAATTTAAGGGGTCTGGGGAAGACACATGTTCCTGGAGCAGAGATGAAGGAATTTTTCCTCATGTCCACATCAACAGCATAGACACTTGTTCATATAAATTTCCTAGCAATCTAGGGTGAAAATAGTGAGGTGCAAGAGTCCAGGAACACTGTGTACACACGTGAGTTTGTATGCCAGCTAAAGAACCTTGAGTTTGGAAATCGTAGAACATTTGTAATGAATTGCAAGCAAACATGCCCAAAACGTGTTTCAAAGAAGTCCTTATCCTCATTCAACTACAGAGTAAATAAAAATATTCTCTGTTCCTAAAAGTCATCCCATACCTTCCAGGGTTATTTATTACACAGATATTTTAGAAGCTGTAGTCTAGAACCAAAGGGTAATGCTTTTGCTTGCAAGGCAGGAAAGGATGAATGCCAGAATTTATGGTTTAGTTGTGCAATGTCCTCCAAAAGCTTGTGTGTGATTGAATAAGGACAGTTTAGAGGTAAAAGAATTGGATTATGAATGATTTAACCTAATCAGTACATTAATCACCTGATAGGGATTAACTAGGTGGTAACTGTAGGTAGGTAGGGTGTAGCTGAGACTGTAGTTCCCTGGGGTGTGCCTTTGGGGTATATATTTGTCTTTATTGAGAGGATCTCTCTCTCTCTCTCTCTCTCTCTCTCTCTCTCTCTCTCTCTCTCTCTCTCTCTCTCTCTCCTAGTCACCATGTTCAGAGGTGCTCCCCTCCTCCACACTCTTCCATTAAAATGTTCTGCCTCACCTTGAAACCCTAGGAATGGTGACAGCCATCTATGGACTGAGACTCAAAATGAATTTTGACTCCTCTAAAATTGTTCTTGTCAGGTCTTTTGGTCACAGCAATAGGAAAGATGACTAACACACCATCTATGGAAAATTGTTGTCTCATACCAGCACTCTGAGGAGAGGATATAAACATTTGAAGAACTTGTGGCACTGTGATTCACGAAGAGGAAAGTCTTCCAGAATTAAGGCATGACACAGCAAATTACAGAGTTTCCCTTAAATAGTTTTCTTACTTTTCATGCAATTATGATTGAAATCATAAAAATGGAGAAGACTGGAAGATTTATTTCCATAGTCTAAGAAACTGTGAAAGTGAAGACAGCCTGCCCCTTTCACCACCTCTTAATTTTATGTCCACTTTCTGTAGCTGTTGACATCATGTGAGATTTTAATCCTGGTCTACTCCCGTGTTTTTTTCCCACCTTAGGACCTTTTGACTTTCAATCTCTTGTCTAAATCTTTTAGCCATTGCCCTTGTTCTGATAAATTTCACTCATCTTATTCCAGAACAGGCACATATCTTATCTGTTCTTACTGTGCATCATGCTTATTCTCTGTACCATTCCATGTGTGATCACTGTATCACATGAGATGTTTTTGAGGACAGGAAATAGATCCTGACTATACGTGTGAAGAGATCAACACTTAGAGAAACTGACATAAATAGTATTCAGGTTCACACTAGTTGAGTAAGCGAGTTCCTATTTTGTGCTACAAAGATGCTTTAGTTATTTTAGTTAAACTTTTCACTCATACAGAAATTAAAAGAAAATACTACCACTCAAACTTTATATATATTATAATGCCACTTTTGTTTAGATATGTCTCAGAAAAATAAGACATTGCATAAATATTTTACTATCCACCTGATTTCACTTCTCATTTCCACCCACAGTTAACCACATCTCTGAATTTCATCTGTATTATTCCTAACCATATATTTCAAATTTATTAAGTATTTACTTAGTTATGCATAATTCCTAAATATTTAATGAATATGGTTATAATTGATATATAGGCTATGTATACATGCACATGCATATATCATCAAAATATGTATACTTATACACACATGATAATTTAGCATTAAAATGATTTTATATATATATATATATATATATATATATGTAAAACACTAAATTTCTATATCCTTCTCCATGTAGTTTTATATAGTTTACAATACATTTAGAAACTTTATTCCTATTTTGATAAATATTTTCCAATTATTTATACATATATTTGTCTTCTATTATTATTCTCATTTTATCTAAAGAATTTCTGATTTGTTTTTGTTTGTATGTTTGTTTTGATGGCTCTGTGTCAATGAGGTACATCCACAACGTTTTTTATTTTATTTTACTTTTTGTGACAGGGTCTTGCTAAGTTGCTGAGGCTGGCCTGGAACTAGTGGTACTCCTGCCTTAGTTTCCCAAGTAGTTTGGATTATAGTTGTGCCCAGCTAATTCCTTTTTCTTTGAATAAAGATATTATTTCTTTATTTTCTTTTTTTATTTTCAGAACACTAAATATTTCTATTGAAATGCTTTTCACTTATGTGTATCTTTGTTACTTAGAGTGAATTTATTTTTTGATATATATTTTTTAATCTAACTCCCTATTGAAAATTAAAATTCTTCATCTTTATCATACACAGGAATATACATTTCTTTCTCTCTTGTTTGGATATATCTGTGTTTCTTCCCTCATCCTTTCCATATAGTATTTGGATATGTTGCTAAATTATAGCTTTCTGATTAGATGCCCTGGCTTGGGGACTGTGTGTGCTTTCTTTTGTGTCTCTGAATATGCACTTTCATTTAAGCAGTAGGCTCAAAAACATAATGGTCTTAAGTATTTTTTCCTTCTGGACTGAATTTTATGTTCTAGGGGCATGTGAATGTCTATGAATTCATATAATATAATGCTCAAGCACCCCAGTTCCAGGAGTATTGGATTTCTAATTTGAATATTTTACACTATTATTAATAATTATCTTCTTTGTGAATAAACTATAATATTCTAATTCATTTATACACAATTAATTCTTGTAAGGTGACTTAGAAGTATTTCTAATTATGAATAATCCATGTCACAACTGAGGCTCAAGAGGTTAAGCAGTTGAGCTTTTATAGTGCAACCAAGACATTTTGCTCAATCACATTTTAAACTATGCATTAATACAATTTTTAAAGAGAATTGCTGTTTTTCCCTACTGAAGGTAAATTGTTTATTATTTATAATTTATTGAACCCTCAAAAGCTATAAAATATTTTTAAAAAATATTTTAAAACATCTTTATACAACCATCGACAGGCTCCTCTTACTTGAAAAAGATTAACCAGTTTAAGCATTCATTTGCTTGAACAAAATAGTTGCTTAAGAAATCACATATATATCCTTTCAACAATGAGTGCATAGTTTGAAGGAATATGATTTCAGTCTACTAAGGCAGAAAGTTAAATACTACCTACAATTGTCTAATTATTTGGAATGCAGGAAAATCTGAATTTTTTTAAAAAAATTCACGTTTATATACTAAACATGTGTGGATTATAACATAGGATGTTCAGATGTAAGTAAATTTACAATGGTGATTTGAAAGCAATTTATCCTACGTAAATATATATATTTATAAGCAGAGAAGAACATGAGGCTACTTAAAATGGGAGAGACAATGAAGATGTGTATTTCATATGAACCCTATGGCTGCATTCACATTGTAGTATATACTCATTAGTAAAATTTAAAGACACTCAAGGATAATGGCAAAAATGCTTTCGTAAAAGTGTACCAAAAGAAAATTAAATGTTGATTCTACAATTTATGTAGCATTTTTCCTTCATGTCAATTTGAGGCAATTATTAAATCTCAATAGTACATGCAGATTAATATGATCAGTAGGTATGGTGGTGCATGCCTGTACTCCCAGAGACTGGGAATCCTAAGATAGAAGGATCACAAGTTGGAGACAAGCCTCAGCCATTTAGCAAGACCCTAAGCAACTTAGCAAGACTATGTCTTAAACTAACTAAATAAATAAATACATATGTAAGTAAAAAAGTGCCCTTGCATTCAATCCCCAGCATGGAAAAAAGAAAAAAAAACATGATAAAAGTTAATTTGGAGGACAATGTTGATGCTAATTAGAAAGCTAAACAAACTGAATGGCTTATTATTTGTCTAGATGGAGGAATCCACCAAATAAAATATCCAAATAATGATGAATCTTCTTAGTAACTAAATTATGGTATTTCTTTCTCCCCTCAATACAGAATATTAAACAAAAATGATTTTTAAAACTTCCATAACACCTCACAATTATGCATATTTTCACCCATACTCTGGAAAATGTTCCTAATAACAAAAGGAAATATAATTTCCCCCTGCATATATTTCCTGATAGCTTTGCTAATATAGATGATTTCAAACATTGCATTTCCATTCATAACTGTCTCTAGAACATATTTTTCATTTTTTCTAATTTAAATATTTTTTACCTCCTAGCAGTTGCAGCAACTCGCATAAACATTTTTGTCAGCTAAGATTTCTCTTAAAATTTGCCCAAGAGCATATTACTTGTGTATTTCTTGTTTAAAGGAATGCTTCTGAATAAATTCAAAGAAAGCTATTTGTACATATGGCTCAATTTTAAATACAAGCTATTCACAGATCATAACACATTAACATCAACTCAACACTGAATGCTGATTTTCAAGCTGTTTGTGGGTATATAAGAATAAAGAAAAACTAATCAGGCATCTTCCATATTAAGTCATAGCAAAAAACACACAGAAAAAAAATTATATTTATGTTCACCTTCATTGTCCTTAAGGGTGAAGTTTGGGTTGATAGATAGGTGTTCATCCAGAAAGAAGTTAAACCTTGGTCCATTGGCAAAATCATCTTTATCTGTGGCACTGATGGTATGAATAACCTAAAGAAGAGAAGCATACTAAATAGTAAATTTAATTTGGCTTATTCCCTTGGTTTTAATTATGCCATATAATTTTAGCTGTTACAAGGATTTTTAAAGATTATTTTTCCAAATCAATTGTTTAAAGTTAAACTCATGAAAGCACCAATTACTTTTGTCTCCATTGAACTGGATTTTAGAAGGAAAAAATATTATAATTTATATTCATTTACAGAGTTTTTTTTCTACCAGAATACAGATACTTTAAAATATTTGTTAACACTCATAATACCTTGGGGCCAATTAGATGTAAAGTTTTGTGTGAATGCCTGTTTAGGGAGATGTAAAGCATTGTTTGCACAAAAATAAACACCCCAGTATTGTTGTAGAACAGCCTTTCAGTATATGTGGGTTTCTATCTGTAATTACAAAAACAGTGTATGCTTAATTTTTTTTAAGTATATTGCAAGGCCTTTGAGATCTTGATCCAATTCCTGTACTTTATTGGTGAACAATCAGAGTCTCATAAATATCATGCTGTGTCCCAAATCTCTGGAATAGTGGCAGAGGCAAAATCAGAACCCTTGGTGATTTATCAAGAACCTCTCTTCTTTAGTGGTCAAGAGAAAACAAATCTAAAATCTGGATTCAGCGCACCTTAAGGAGAACACTAAATTAGAGTATATAAATAAATCATTTCTAGTGGTACAAGATCAAAGCAAATTCTAGTAGCTGTGGCCATTGTAGTTTGAAAAAAACAAATACCCAAGCAAAAAAACAAAACAATATTTCTCTCTTTTAAAATTTTGTATCCTAAACATTTATGTGTCTCCTTATTTTTTTTTCCTGCCATGCATTTGACAAATTAAAAACAAAGAGAGGAAAAAGAAAACTATAAGTTTATATTTTCTGCTTATGAAATGTATTATGTCAATTGCAAAATGTGATACTGTTTATAAAAAATATTTTATCCAATTTAAATACTTTACAGTGTAAAGAATTCACCTAACATTGTGACTGTTGAAACCCAAATCTTCTCCACATATTGAGGCAATTAGTTAGAAGAAGATGAAGGCATGAAAAAGTACTTCAGAAGAGTGATCAGGGGATGGAAAACAGAAAAGGCATTTGTGCTCAGGAAATGACCATCACCAAGTGCTTCCAGATATGGAAGGGATCACCTCTTCCACATGTCCCAAGACTCACTCCTGCACATTTTGAAGCCGAAAGCTTCATGTTGTTGATGGTGAACTTTCTTCTTCCATTTAAAGAGCAACTACTCTCTAGGTAGATCTTTTCCCATTTGTTTTGCCTCTGAGTAGGAGAATGTATGATGGGTAATCAGATACAATCTGACCATTTTCCTCAAGTGCATGAAAAGCTTCAAATAGAGTTCAGAGTGCCCTGCCAACTGAGAGCTGTACTTACATTCTCTGCACATCAGTTAATTAGTATATGATTGAAATAAAGACAAAATCAATTTGTCTAATTTGTTTTCAGAGTTAAATAAATACACTTATTTAAAGCAAACATAACTCTCTTACCCCATCCCTATGGCCCACAGTGGTACATACCAGCATACACATATACACATGCAGAAACACATCGATTTCTCTCCGTTTTCCCTTGTTTCATAAAGAAGCATCCTTCCATGCCCTTCTCCTCATTCATTGTGTTTCTGCAACTTGCCGTCCTGTTTTCTCTATGACACATTATAGCATGAAGATGCATTTGCAAATTCACTTCTTATCCCAGAATAGATCACAGAGATGTTGATGGAGAACAAATAATTCAGAGGGAATGAGCTGTTTTACATTCCTTGCTATCACATGTGTAGTATTCTTTTCTTTTCTTTTTTTGTAATTTGTTTTAATTATTTACACATGAAAGTACAATGATCTTGACATATCATACATTTGAATCAGATGGGGTATAATTTCTTATTTTTCTGAGTGTACAGGTTGCAGAATCACATTGGTCATGCAGTCACATATATACCCACAGCAATAATAATGTCTATTTTATTCTGCTGTTCTTCCATTCCCTCCTTTCCCTCCCCTCTGCTCCCCTCCCATCACTTCTCTCTACCCAATCGAATGTGACACAATTATTTCTTTTCTTTTTCCTCACTTTGTCATACATGTATTCTGTGTAACAATTAGTGTCTCCTTCCATCTTCCATGAAATTCCCCTTCTCCCTCTCTTTCCCTCCCACCTCTCTTCTCTATCTAGAGGTAATCTTCTTCTCAGGCTCTTCCTCCCTACCCCATTTTGAGTCACCTCCCTTATATCAGAGAAGACATTCAGCATTTGTTTTTTAGGGATTGGCTAACTTCACTTAGCATAATCTGCTCTAATGCCTTCCATTTCCCTGCAAATGCCATGATCTTGTTATTTTTTAGTGTTGAGTAATATTCCATTGTGTATATATGCCACATTTTTGTTTTATCCATTCATCCATTGAAGGGCACCTAGGTTGGTTCCACAGTCTAGCTATTGTGAATTGTGCTGCTATAAACATTGATGTGGCTGTGTCCCTGTAGTATGCTGTTTTTAGGTCTTTGGTATTGTTTCCTTTTCTATCCATTAGTTTATAAATATTTAAATGTTTTCCTAATGTTTTTACAAATGTGAGATTATTCAATATGGTAGACTGATATAATTTATATTACATTTTTAATATTGGAGTTTGTGTGTGTGTGTGTGTGTGTGTGTGTGATCTTTACCAAAGCATCCTTCCATTCTTATACAGATACATATAGACCATTCACATCTGAACCTAATAGGGAGTGTGCTTAAAACAGATCTGTTCTCCTAGAGAAACAAATCCCCAGTCCCTTTAACATAAGAAACAATGTTTCAATTACTACATTTTGCTTTAGAATATCCCATTCATCATTAACATTTGTAGAATGAATGGTCATGTAAGTTAAATTTTTAAACTTAACATTTCTGCAAAATGTTTTCAAAAGCCTGAAATGCTAGGTCTGCTTTTGTCCTGAATCCTGAGATATTCTCTTGGTCTGAGATATCATATTCAACTTTTCTGTTTTATGAATTGCCTTCTTCATTTCATTAAGAAAGCAGGATTTGTGTTATTATTATTTCAGACATTTTACAGAAAATATACATGGAAAATTTGCATGTTTGTGATTTTAGAAGATTTAAACCTCTGAGAGATACCTAGATAATTGCCAATTCTCTATGATTAGGATCTTTTGTTACCAGAGTTGTAATTTATGCACATTGTGATACCTGTGCTCTCTGTAAAATTACTTGGTAACCTGAAATGCCTTAAAATTTCATATTTTATTTTCATTTCTTTGAACGTCACCCCAAAATTTCCTAATACATACTCATGATCTAATTAATACATATTATAATAATTTGATTATTTAGAATGGTATAACAGATGTAGAGTCACACATTTAGTCTACTTTTCAAAGTCAAAGAGGGAAAATCAAATTGATAGTTCAGATTTATAAACAATAAACAGGAAATAAATTGATAATAATCTTAGTAAATGTGATTTTTTTTTAAATTTATTTTCCACAATCCAATAGTGTGAGAGTATAGAGTATTGTATTAGAAATAAAAATAAGTGTTATAAATTTAAGTACTATAATGTTCTGTTCTAGGGAGTATACAATATCGTTTCTAAATTTAATCAATGAGTTTGCTTTATAATATAATATTGAATAGATTCTGTATAAATTTATTAAATAAGAATATGAATTTCTGTGACTTCAATGATCTCTTATTTATACTTTATAAAAGTTTTATTTACCTGGCTTATTTTTTTATACAAAGTTACATAGTTGATAAAATTATACGTAAAGTAGCAGCAGTTATTATCATATAATAAAATGATTTTCATGTAATATTTTCAGAGCTTCTTTCTAATGAAAAGTAAAAAAGAGCACAGATAAAACTTAACACATATATGAGAAAGGACTCTCTTATTTAATGTTTCTCACTTAGGCATATTTGGTATACCTTAAAGAAACACTCTACTTTAGGAAGCCATTGCAAATTTCATGCACATGTGGCATTATTTTTTAATATTACTTCAGGAAAAGTACTTAAAAGATTTTTTTCCAGAATGGGAAGATACATTAACTCTGAGAACTATCATTTACTGTCTACATTGACATCTGAGTTGACCTGAAGTCTGTTGTTATATGTAGTGGTAACTTTCATAAAAGGCCAATCTCTTTGCCATGGCAACACAGTGATGGATTAGATGTACAGCATTCATAATAGAAATATCTGCGACTCTGAAAGCCATTGTCAGAGAAAGAAGATTTGTTGTACAGTTGGGCAATGCAAACCCACTTTAAAATCTTATTTCAGAAATCATTGTTTAAACCATTTCCTATCCCAACTCTGCATCAAAACACATGAAGTCAAAACACTTTTCTTCCAAAAATGCTGTTAACATAAGGTTGAAGGAATCAAAGTCTATAAAATTAAACATTAGAAAGATGCAGACCATTTTCTTCTGCAATGTGTTAATAACAAAGCTACATATATTGATAATGATTTGTTTAAATGTAGCCATTACAAGCAATATTTTAAAATGATTCTTTTACATCAAATTACAATTTTATTTTGATGTAAAACGTTAAAAATAATTGTTAAGGCAACAATACAAAGAACATAATTGTAGCCTGGATCATGGTGTATGCCTATAATCGAGCAATTCTGGAGCCTGAGGGAGGACGATCGTTAAGTTCCAGGCCAGCCTCAGCAATTTATTGGGACCTAAGCAGATTAGTAAGACCTAGTCTCAAAATAAAAATAAAAATTATAAAAATAAAAAGTGCCCCTCTTGGGTTCAATTTCTAGCATACACACACACACACACACACACACACACACACACACACACAAATCTAATTATACTCACATAAGAACATTCTAAAATGTGAAGGGCAAAATTGGTGGCTAAAATAGTAACCACAAAATTTTATCAAAATATATTAGAATTTAGAGGTGCTAAGCCTTGTGATAACTCTCTTAAAACCAATAATAAATATCCAAAGAAAGATGCAGAATAAGAATAGTGAAGAATTTCAAACAATGGTTTGTGAAATAACTACACCATGATCAATGAGTACTAACAAAGATAAGCAGGTTATGGCATAGTTCTTTCCCAAAATTATTATGGCTTTCATGTAATAATGTAACTCATATTTTTTGAAAATTGAAATTTATTTAGTCATAAACTCATAGAATTTTAGGCTTAGGGAAGCCCTAAAATTCTGACAATTGTCTTCAGTTTAGAGATGAAGAAAGCACTTTTCTATGCTATATAAAATTCTCTCAGAAATGCCACATAGCTGAGGCCTTCAACGTGAAGAGTAAAACAGAAGACTCAAACTGGAGAGGTAACTTTCAGAAAGGACATGTCCTAGAGATAATGACAAAGTGAACTTTCAGAGACAGAAGTAGCCAAGATGATGGGCCAACAAAGTCAGTATCACAGGCCAGAAAACTGAGCCAATAGTCTAAATTTGGAAACATTTGTTCAAATACACAGAAAAAAGTAACAACTGAAAAAGGAGGTAGGGCAAGATACCATTTGCTCAGATTTTCAGCAGTCTCCAATGGTGGCTATATACCAGCAAGCATTAGCTGCATCATGGTACAAGAACATACATGACACTGAAATGATCTTGGGGGAAAAGCAGTCTATTTATACATAGCTAAATATTTCAATAAGAAAAATGCCTAAGAACTCCTGATGTGAACATTAACCTATACTTGATTCTTTAAAAAAACAAAAAATATATTTTTTAGTTGTAGGTGCACAGGATAGTTTTATTTATTCTTATGTGGTGCTGAGGATCAAACCCAGTGCCTCACACATGCTAGGCAAGCACTTTACCTCTGAGTCACAACCCCAGCCCTTATACTTGATTCTTTATATCATATTCAAAAAATTTACCAATTTTTAGATCTCTGACATACGAACCAATGAGATATTCATTGAGGGTAAGGACCTAAGCTTTTTTTTTTTAATATTTCAACCTTTCTTAGTTTCTCTTAGTTATACATAATATTAGGGTATGTTTTGACATAATTATACGAGCATGGAATGTAGCTTGCTCTAATTGGAGCAAAAGAGGAAGTACTGAGGATCTAAATTTAAAGGTTGATCTTTGTAAGGACTTATTGCATCTTGAAATGGTAGCATTTATTCTTAGCTGTTTTGTTTGTTAACATGCTGTTAACTAATACAGTATAGAAATTTATTTTCTAATTGTAGTTTAAAAATATAAGTAATATCTTCATTTTGATGCTGTACTCAGCAATTGTGTCAATTTCACATAAAAAACTGAAACAGTGTTTAGCAGCATTAGAGCTATTGTTGTTGTTGCTTTGTTATTATTAATAATGAGTGTTGAAATTTGTTAAATACTTTATAGTGACCTATTGAGCTTTGGTTTTCCACTGATTTTAAGTAACAATTTTTGGTTTATTTGATTTGTGTACATTTTATTTGAAATATTTATATATATGGTCACTGATGTAAAGTCAGATTGTATTTCAGCTTTTGATACTAAAATTATGCTTATGTTGTCATAAATTATGTTCATGACATCATAGATTATTTACATATTCATTAAAAATTAGTACAAAAATATTTTCCTCCTTTTCTGATTTCTTGAAATGTTCATAAATTGCTATAATCATTGCCCCTAATCTTTTAGAGTAATTCATCCTGAGAAGAGTATTTATGTGTGGGTATAAAGGAAAAATATTAGACATAAATGTTCTATATATACTTATGTAAACTGTGTTGTATGAACAATAGTCTTCGTTTATGTGGGTGAAATGCCTGAGGACAAAGTTGCTTGGCTGTGTGTCAATTGCAATGTTTTGTTTCCTAACAAACTGTCAAAATGTTTTCCAGAGAAGCAGAACCACTTTACACTTCCACCAGCAATGTATGAGTGATCTAATTTTTCTACATCTCACAGGCATTTGTTAAAGTTTAGCTCTTCTGAAAGGTGATGATCACTCATTGTGTCTTCAACTTATATTTACCTAATTACTAATGCTTTTCAACAACTTTTTACATTCCTATTGCCATATATCTTTTGTGAAATGTCTGTTCATACATTTTCCCCACTTTCAAATTGTGTTATTAAATTGTAGCTGTTCAATTTTAAAAATATATTTTCATTGTCTAAATGCTAATTCTTAGACAGATACATTATTTTTAAATATTTTCTTCAACTCTGTAATGTGTCTTTTTATACTGGTAACAGGTTATTTCACAGACTAAAATAACAACAACAACAATAATGAAGTCCAATTTACCAATGTTGTCGTCTATCATACTTTTTGGTGTCAAATCTAAGATTATATTGGTCCTTAGGTCCTGGAGTTTTTCTCTAATACTTCCTTCAATTGGTAGTATGTTTTATTTTATCTCTGGATGTTTTTGATTTTCTGAGGTTCTATTGGAATAAACCTGGAATTTTTGTCATTCTGGACAGCTTGCTTAGTTTGTTTGTTTGGTTTTCTGCAATGCTACTTGAGCGTTTGACTTGGTGTTTTCTGTCTGTTTAGAAAACCTCCATACTGTTATCTCAGATATTGCTTCTGTCCCATCTTCTCTTTCTTACTTGACTCCGAGAATTGAATAATGGATGTTAAATGTTCATGTCCCATATATTGACTCTTATTTATATTTTCTTTGTTTTCCTTTCCATTCTTCAACAAGGATATTAAGTTTGACCTATTTTCTGTTTCATTTGTTTTCTCTTAAACTATGTCTAACTTGCTGTTATTATCAACAATTGAGGTATAATTTCAATTATTGTATTTTTAAGTTTAAACTTTTAATTTCAATATTTAGCATTTTTTTCATTAATTGTATTTTTTTTCGAGTACCTCAGATTGAACACAGATATGTTCTGCCACTGAGCTATCTTTGTAGCCTTTTTTATTTTTTTATATTGAAACAGGATCTCACTAAGTTTCTGAAACTAGCTTTGGACTTAAAATTCTCCTGCCTCAACCTCCCAAGTAATTGGAATTATGGGCATGTGCCAAAACACTGGGTATCATTAACCTTACTTTTATAATTCTCAACTCATTGAATTAAGGAAATCACAAATATCTGAGTTTCAGCCCCTCACAGGCAGCAAATTGATCAGACCCTGCAGAAGGAAGGCAACTGTTTAGCTCTAGCCAATCAAGAGATTTCTCTACCTACTTCGGTTTGACCTATAAAAGTTTGCTGCTCATGTTGCAGATCAGAGGTCTCTGAAATGCTTCTGGTTCTGGGTGCTTTCTGATGTATGTATGTCTGTCTATCTCTTTGTGTGTCTACCTATTAATCTATCTATCTCCATCCTCTGGAAGTATTGATTACATAAGTAATGATCATTTTAACTGTTGATTGTTCTCCATGCACAAATATAAAAAGCAATACATTTTTGACTATATTTTCTTCAGTTTTAAAATGATTTAAAGTAATTTGGGATGATATGCACATTCTGATTTGCCAAGACAGTAACAAAATCTGTCTCTCTCAGATGATCTTAGAACATTTCTACTTCTATGGATTTTTCTGTGTCATATAGACTTTATGGTACCCACAACCAATGGGTTCCTCAATTCCTTTACCATAAAAGAGGATATAACCTGTCTTGCTTTTGACCAGAAAATATTCAACAATATGCAACAATATCAATGTATCTTTAGCTTATTACATTATAATACATAAGACATTTTGCTAGCAGACTAATCTAAGAAATTCCATTTACTTGCTTAATAAAGTAAGTGGCTATATTGGGGGAGTTTATACAGCAAGAAACCCTGGGTGGCATCTTAGAATTGTGAGAAGGCTTGAACAGCTAAGAAAAATCCTGAAACTTAGGTATAAAGCTGGAAAAAAAAAAAAAAAAACTGAATACTGCCAATGACCACAGGAGTTTACATGGGATCCTCAAGTCTTGGATGAGAAAAAAAGCCCTGCATGATATTTTAATTGCAATCCTGTGGGACCCTGTGAGGGCCAAACCAAGCCATGCATAGGTGTCTGATCTACAGAAACTATGAGGTTATAAATACCTTTTTGTTATAACCTGTGGATTCGGCAATTTTTTTAATACAGCAGAGAAGATGCATGCAAATTCCGTTTCTAGTCTCCCCCCTATCTCTGTGTGCCACAGCTACACTAGCCTTCCTTCAGTGTCTCCACTACTTCAAATGAATGCTCCAGTAAGTCCAGCCCCATGTCTTACCTTCAAGTTTTCTTTTTTCACTGTCTACATCCTATTAGTGCATACCAACTCTTCACATTGTTCAACCTAAAACAACTTTTAATATTAACCTCATTCAATCATCCTATGTTACTCCTTTGGATCCTCTACAGTAAAGCAAGTAGCCTATTCTCCCAGTACAGTCTCTAAGCTTCATTATGACAGGGGAGTTCAATATTTCTTCCTCAGTGCAGAGCTATACCTAAAACACTCAATGCATTTTATTGGCATGATGAATGGACTATGCACAAATAAGTTCAGTGTTCTGAATTACAGTATGCAGAGAATATTTATTTTCAATGACTCTCCAAAAATCTATTTGGTACTTAAAATAAAGCTTTATAAAATTATCTGCACTAAGTACAAAAATTACACTGGGGAATTTGGGGATTATAACTATGAATAATATGAATAAAGCTGCTTATTTTTCTTCCATTTAAATGATAGGAATGAAACAATTAACTTACCTGGCCCGGCTTAGAATTCTCACAGACAACAATATCATATTCCCTGGCAAGTTCGGGTGGATTGTCATTGACATCCAGAACTCTAATACCCACTGTGACATGGCTCAGCAAATCAGGATTGTCTGCAAAACACACAGGGATGTATTTAGTATTTCCATGCACACTTTGGCGGCTTGGTTTAAAACAAATCTCCTTAATACTGTGGCTTGTCACTAGCTCCATATGCTGTAGCAAGACTTTTGGCAAAAGACAACTTTATGAAGGCACTCTTTGCTAGAACTCATTAACTTACAGAAAAATGAAAAATGAACACCAAGTCATGACATGAATACTAAAATGATATTTTTTCATATCAAGGAAATTACATGTTATTCAGGAACTGGAGTGGGAGAAAGTTGTCAGAACTCATTGCATGCTGTCAGAGTCTAAGGGATGAACAATTGGTTTCATCATTAATCTAAGAAAAGCACAGCAGTTGTTAGAAAAATCACAATCTCTAAAAGGTTCAAGTTCTCAATCTAAATAAACTCAGAGAAATGGAAAGTTCTTTACACAAATGATAATTTACTTTTTATAGGGGAATATACATAATGTTAAGTTACAGGAAAAAATAAAGAACACTTCAAATCAGAATTTAGCATGGTATCTACATATAACACAGTTAAACTTCAAAATATTATCTCCAATACTTCTAAATATGTCTTAATCTTAGCCTTCTCATTTTTCAGTGAGCATATTAATTCTATGATCTAAGGGAAAAGATAAACGTTGGTTTTATTTTTACATGTCAAATCTAGAGATTCAGAATTAATTTGAGAAAATTTGAATATATCTCTCAATAACTTGCACTCTATTTATTTTTTGATTACTAATATTTCTATCATCTTCTAAAAATTATACAAAATCAAAATTATAACAAAGAAGTAATACATTAAAAAGATCAGTATAAAATACATGAATTTGAGAAATTCATCAAAGCACAAATAAGAAGCTGAAAACTAACAATATCAGGAAAAAGTGACATATGAATACTTATACAGAGGATGTTAATAATAGTAAAAAATTCCACAGGGAAATCTAAAAGAAATAGATAATATAAATAATACCTATTGAAAATAAATTTTAGAGTGAAAATTTTTTCACAGAGAAAAATGTTAACTGGATGGTTTTACCTAAAATCAAAGCAAAAACTAATGTCAGACTTGTCCACAGAGAAAAGGGAAGTATTCCACAATTTGCTATCAGTATCTTGTAAAACTTTGATACTAATACTGGGTACTTCTACTAATGAGAGATATATCAACATATTAAAAGAACTAACAGTAAGTCAACTGCACTGATGTATTAAAAACTTCTATCTGGATCCATTTAGTTCTAAGAATACTTATGTAATTCAACAATAATAAAAAAGAGAGAGATAGAGAAGAAAAGTAGGAAATTTTTAATACATAAAAATTATACATTAATTTAATGGTTTGGAGTAGTAAAAAATGTGTGTACATAACCACTCAACAACAGTTACAAAAATCAAGAAATGAAATGTAATATCCATAAGTCTAAACACAAACAACGAAATACAGCTTATATTATTCTTAATGGGGCAAAACTACAAGAATTAATTAAGAGTAGCTGAAATAATTCAAGAATAAAGCTAATAAAATATGTAAGATATCTATATGTGTAACACTTTTCTTAGTTTCATTAAAGAAGATCTAAAAAAGTCATCCACGGTTGTAGCTCAGTGGTAGTGAGCTGACCTAGTATGTGTGAGGCACTGGGTTCCATCCTCAGCACCATATAAAAATAAATGTGAAAAATAAGGTATTGCATCCACCAACAACTAAAATTATTAAAAAATGTTAAGAGATATATTATGTCTCTTGTTTAAAAGACAAAATACCATATGTTCAGACCAACTGTCCAGCTGAATGTGTACATTCAATGTAATATAGTACAAATTCAATGAGAATTGTCCATAGGAATTGATAACTGATTCTAAGATTTATACACACTAAGGCCATTTAGACTCATAGAAGAGGAGCGTGATGAAAGCTTGCTCTGTGTTCTGCCAACATGCCATATGACATTAGAACATAAGGCACTCTCATCACATCCAATGGGTGGACAAACAGAAACATAATACAAAGTCCAGACACACTGCAAATGGAAATATAGGGATAAAAAATGAGGGCACTACATAAAATGTCAGAGGGAGAATAAGTTTATCAGGAGGTGGTTTCATACAACTTGTTATCATCATAGTAACAAAATAATAAAGTGTAGCTTATTTTACACATGCAAAAATAAAACACATTTTGACAACTTTTTTCCTATATTGGTATCATGTTATTTTGCACAATTACTAGTAGACAACTCAGCGATTAAAGATATAGTGTTTAGGATTAGACAACTACTAGTTGTGTCTGCAGTCCAGAATCTTGTGGGGAACCTCAATTAATCAAACTTTGTAGAGATTCAACATAAGTCCTTCATGCACTGTTCAGGAAAACCATTGAAAGTTTTGCAAACAGAGTGTTAGAGCAAGTTTAACATTGTACTGGTATAAAATTATTAACTGCAAGTCACTGAATATAGGATGATATTTAAATATGTTGCTTTAAATATGGATAATAGGGCTGAAACCCACTGTAGCTCTGTACTCACCATTCATCTACCTGCATGCAATCTACCTGCATGTATTCTTTTTGTAATCATGATATTAGTTAATTCTTATTTGTGAATTGGGAAGTTCCTTTTTGTCTTAGTCTATTATTTTCTTAGTCTATTTTATTATTCCTTTGTTTATTATTTACTTTGTCTATTATTTACCTTGAATGTCAAATATATTTGTAAGACTAAATTTGGATTTCTTTTCTGTTTTTAATTCAACATTTCTGTTATGGTTATTTTAGTCTTATTTTCTCACTTCATTTCTGTAAATCAGTTTTCATAATTTTTTATCTTTTATTGATTTTATTATTTTTAAATACAATACAACAGTGGAATGCATTACAATTCTTATTACAAATATAGAGCACAATTTTTCGTATCTCTGTATATAAAGTATGTGTACGCCAATTTATTCCTTTATACATGTACTCTGTTTTTTTGTATTACAATTCTTAATACACACATATACCACCATTTTTTCATATTTCTGCTTGTATATAAAGTATGTTGACACCAAATTCAAGTCTTCATACATGTACTTTGTATAATGATGTCCATTACATTCCACCATCCTTGCTAATCCCCTACCCTCTCCCTTTCCCTCCAATCTGTCTTCCCTATCTAGAATTAACCTAATCCTCCCGTGCTCTCCCTCCCTACCCCACTATGAGTCAACCTCCTTATATGAGAGAAAACATTTGGCATTTATTTTGGGGGGGATTGGCTGACTTCATTTAGCATTATCTTCTCCAATGCCATAATAATAATAAACAAATTACCCTCAAATCAGAAAAATATAAATATATATCCCATTTAGAGTATTCTTGAAGAGCAAATACTTTGTTAAGTCATTTATTATTTTAATGCCTTAATTTTTTCCATCTATAAACCTGGAATAAGAATGATTTGACTCACTAAGCTGGATTTTGGAAAAATAATTAAAGGGTCATGTAAATTTTACTCTACAAGCCAAGAAGAGAACACAACATACATTTTAACCCCGTCTGAATATTAAAATTTAAAAAATGAAAAACTAAACAAAACATATGTTATGCGATCAATTTTATACATGCAATTTCTAGCACAAAATATTCTGTTTATTTTATTGAACCCAGGAACACTGTACCACTGAGTTGTATGCCCAGCTCTTTTTATTTTTTATTATTATTATTATTATTTTTTAAATTTATTTTGAGACAGGTTCTAAGTTACTGTATGTCTAGCTAATTTGCTGAGGCTGGCTTCAAACTCTCAATCGTCCTACCTAAAACTCCTGAGTCACTGGGATTACACGTCTGTGCCACCATGCCCAATTACAAATTATATTATTTATAAATAAACTATACTTTAGGTAATACCAATATAATAGGAACTCACAATAGCAGATTGGAACCTGTAGAGACAGAAATGCAGTGAAAATGGTATTGCGCTCCAAAACCTAGCATGATTTTGCAAAATTTTATTAATCTTCTATAAATTAAGGAACTATCAATTTTATACAGGGAATAGTTATGAATGCCTATGTGTACTTGCCAGCATAATGGGCTATGAGAGAAGATGGAACAACTAAATATTCCACTTTACCTGATTTAAACCTGTTGACTTTGAATACAGAAAGTGAATTTAAAGCTACTTTTTTCAAATTATTTTCTTAAAAATCATCACTTAAATGCTTAATTTACTTTTACTTCAAAGCCATTATTATTTACATATGCATCTTCTCAAAGAAATCTAAGTCAATTCACTGGTATAAGTTTATTAAGGAATTTGGTGATTTCTAATCTAATTATTTACTTTCTAATGTGAATAAGAATAAAATAGATCAATTTTCTTATGCATATAATATCCATTATTTTCTCAAAATAAGGGTTTATTTATTTTCTTTATGAAAATCTACTCAAAAAGAAAAATGTTATCTACATTGCAACAGGAATTTTCAGTAAATAAAAGTTCTAAAAGTCACATTTTTATTTGACTAATTTTCTTAAATGCCCATAAGTATGAAGATGGAGATAAAAATAATATTTTTGGTCTCTGTTTCTTAAACTTTTGTGAACATATTTCATTTTTTTGTGAAAATATCTATAAACCAAAATAATCCTCCCTCTTTTGAAAAGTGATTATGAGTTAATACTGGAACATTTTGAAATGTTAGCATAAATTTTGTTTATGAAAGAATGTGTTTCCATAATTTCCTTAAAAAAATAACAAGAAGTTTTGAAACCAAGAGTTCAAACAAACAAAGTCTTCATTTAATGTGTGTGTATGGAAAGAAAGATAATTTTGCTAATTTTAGTTGTAGCTTTAAAATGTTGTATATGAAAGTCATATTTAAATTCAAGACAAAATAAAAACTGAGATAAAATCATTAATAAATTGCTCAGTATGGTGGCACACTCCTATAATCCTGGATACTCTGGAGCCTGAGGCCCAAGATTGCATGTTTGAGGTC